GGAGGGAGGGAGATAGGAGAGACACAGTGAAAGGAAGGAGGGAGGGAGAGAGATGGGAGAGACAGGGAAAAGAGGGAGGGAGATGGGAGAGAAAGGGAAAGGAGGGAGGGAGATGGGAGAGACATAGGGAAAGGGGGGAGGGAGATGGGAGAGATGGTAAGGGGAATAGAGAGGGGAGAGACACAGGGAAAGGGGGAGGGAGAGAGAGGGGAGAGACACAGGGAAAGGAGGGAGGGAGAGACACAGGGAAAGGAGGGAGGGAGAGAGAGGGGAGAGACACAGGGAAAGGGGGAGGGAGAGACAGAGAAAGGGGGTGAAAGGATGCAGAGGGGGAGAGAGAGACAAAGAGGGAGAAATGAGACACACAAGGGGAGGGGAAGAAAGAGGCAGAGGGGGAAGAGAGAGAGAAAGAGGGAGAAATGAGAGAGACACACAAGGGGAGGTGTGGCAAACCTAGCCACTCGGACTATAACTGGACACTATGCCTTTAAGGGTTGCCTATAGGTCTGAAGAGATATGCGTTTTAACCTGTATGTGTCTGCTTCATGTATTCCCTGCATTGCCTGTACCTATCTGTTCCGCCGAATGCAAATGGCGGTTTGTATAGGGATTCTTGTTCGTTTCACGAACGGCGCTTTGGAGGGCCGTTCGTGAAGCGAATGCGATACCCCCTAATAGCCCACACACTTAGAGGCGTGTGGCGCTAGTTAACCGATTGCAACATTGTTGCAATCGGTTATTAGAGGCTCTCCTGGGTGGCCGTTGTTCGACTACCGACCATGCGGCGGTCGGCCATCTTGGATCCTTTGTTCCCTCAGCGGGGTTATGTCGTCGAGCGCCTGGTACTAAAAACGGCTACTCGACGGCATGAGCCCCGTTGAGCCTCCAGGACGTTCGGGAGTTTCGGGACGTTCGGGAGTTTGTTCCCTATTAGCAATCGGTTCTTTTTGTATGTTTCATCTGAATTGTGTTGTTCGTGCGGCGTTCGGTTATTTTAGCAGGGATCTGAGCGGTAATCTCACGAATGATACCCTCAGACCCCAGCTATCTACCGAACGTCCATTTGTGTAAATCCACTATATATTCACCAAGTTATTGATTTTTATGTGAATTATCGGTTCTGCTGCACGAGGGGATAATCCACTTAACGGTGCATTCTGGGAAGATTATCCCTCTCGTGCAGCGGTGCCTGATGGGAGAAATATGCTGTAATTTAAGTCTCCCATGTAGTCCCCTCCTGTACAACCCCTGTAATGTCAGTAAGGAAACCCCTTGCATGGGGAACTGCATAAATACTGTGACCTGTGATTAAAACCTCAGTTGACTCCCAGCCTATGTGTCGTCTAGTTCTTGGGAAGGAAGGGTTACTGCAGTGCTGTTTGGATTATTGTATGCTGATTCCCTGGATTATCCTTTGTTGTTCCTGTTACCCAGCGGAGATATCGTGGATTATACTGCCTCTCCGCTACAGGAGGGGAAGAAAGAGGCAGAGGGGGAAGAGAGAGAGACTGGGAAGGAGAGGGAAGACATTGACACAGAGGAGCAGTGAGGGGGAGAAAGAGAGGACCCGGGGCAACGCTCCGGCTCTCACGAGGGTGAACTCTAGCCCTGGAGCTACGGGCTAGAGTTCACTCTCACCACTTCCTGGTGGTCGCAGTAGTAGGAGTGAACTCTAGCCCCATACACACTGCCCACACACACACGCACACCATACACATTCACACACTGCCCCCACACACACCATACACATTCACACACTGCCACCACACACACACACTGAACCTTTCACACACATTGCACCACTGCTACTATACCCTACTACAGCCCCATATCCCAGCAGACTCCAGGTAAGTTGTCAAACTGTTCTTAAACGGTTTGACTACTTACTCTGGGAGGGGGTACCGACACTCCTGGCACCATAACCACTAGACAGAGGAGTAGTGGTTATTGTGCATGGAATATTTCTTTAAATAATCTACAAGTGCCCCTCCCGGGCTCAGGCTCTGGATCCGTCACTGGTATATGACATGTATATTAGTTATATATATATATAAACATATATATATCTATTATATTTACACATATTAATGTACATTTATATATGCATAATACACAGAGAAATGTCATTAATATGTGCCATATGTAATGAGCAGATATTGGCCCAATCTTGTTGCTAGGTGCATACTCCAGCACAATAACATATTTAAAGTGAAGAGCACACCCACAGGACTTCAAAATAAAAAATTTTTCATGTGTGTAGGTAGTGGTTACTGTGCGGTGCGAACCAATGCAATCATAATTACATTTTCCCGATTTCCCCCCAATTAAAACCAAGAGACATAAGTGTGGTATAAAACAGGCCACAGCTTTATTTATAATAACAAGCATAAATAAATCAACCAATAATTTACTCGAGAACTTGTCCTTGCCAACCGACCCATAATAACTCTAGAGTACCCCCTTCCAGGGTACCTGCCCTCCCCCCTCGTCCAAGATAACAGGCCTTTTACCTTGGCCTTCCAATACCCCATGCCAACCCCTGGCCGCCTTTTACTGGCACGGGGGGCACGCCCAATTACCACAACTCTCCGAGGTTAGGGGAGGGACCAGACCCAGCATTCCTTCTTCCAGTGTACTCGTTTTCCAACTGGTTTGGCAAGGACCATACCCGCCACTAGCGCCTGCTGCATTTAAGCCTAAATCAGCTGGCGCGACTCCCCACCAACGCCATGGCCTGCTCTAACGCGTCCTGCAGCGCCAGATTAAACAAATCTAAACCCACATCCGTGAGATGAACCCCATCTGGGCGAAAATAGATCGCCGCTTCCTTTTCAAATATCCGGTGTCGCACTGTGACACCCCCAACCCCGAGTACAAATTTGGACACCCTCTTGTTGATTTTAACCCTGCAGCGCTCAATCGCCCCCTGATCCCTCGCGCGGCGCCAATAGTTCCTAGTTACTATACCTGACCAGACTAAGCAGAGCTGTGGGAAAAGGACTAGCAAGCGCGCCAAATCCCTTCTAATGAGCTCACTAATCCCCCAAGCAGGCAGCGCACCAAGATCGTTTCCCCCCAGGTGTATCACCAATACATCAGGGGCCCCCAACAATGTGGTTAACTGTAACACCTCCGGCAAGAGCTGGCCCCAGCGCATGCCCCGAAAACCGAACCATCGGACCTCAGCCAGCTCCCGGGGAATTCCAAGTCGCGTCCCACCCGGGCGTACCCCTGCCCGCAGGTGGGCCCAGTAGATATACGAATGCCCAATCAGCCAGATCCGTCGGCCGGGCCCTGCGGAGAAAACACAAGGGGGGCACCCATCAGACGCGTGGGCCGGATATAGGAACGAAACCTCCCAGATTCCCATCTCCCAATCCTCTGAATCACTTTATCAGAGAAACACAACCGAGAAGCTTCAGTAGCTGCCCCAATCCGGAAGGAATGACCCCCAAATTCACCACTCGGGATTCCCAGCATGTCGAGTGCCAAGCGAAATACCCGGAGGAATTGAAAACGAGACAGGTAAGTACCATCCTCGTGCATTAACAACGGACCCGCAAGACTCGGGCGTATGGAGCAGTAGGACTGAAACGCAGAGGCTGGGCAAACAGACGAATTAGGGATGGTGCGAAGGGTAACCCAGCGACCCTTTCCAACAACGTCAGTTTTAGACCGTCGTATCAAGAAACGCACCGCACCATCCAAGAGGAACACATCGTGAAATAACAAACCCCCCGGAATCCCCCTGCTAGGGCTGATTAGTTTCGGAGGGCCCCAAAAAAGGCAAAAATAAAGGCCAACCGAAATAAACTGGCTTCATAAGCAGAATAACATATCTGCGGAAGCACTGAGGCAATTCCTAGCAGCAATGCCCCTGAAACCGGCCTACGAGAATCCTGCCCACGAGGGCCCCTACGCCAACCACGCATCGCAAGTTTAACCAAGAAATCCTTAGTGACATCCGGCACCCGAGTTAAGTTAAACCAGAAACTAAGACCGGAAAGCTTCCCAGAAACAGTAGCCGGCGAACACCCGCAAGCCTCCCAGAACCAAAGCAAATGTAACAAACCTTGAACTCGTTCCGCCGGGGAAGCGTAGCCTCCATGATCCTGCTCAAGAGCAACCCATTCCCCCCAAGCCTTACCATACCGGACCCAAGTCGCCTCAGACACCGAGGACCGTATCCATTCCCTTATCCGCTCAGGCCAAGGGACCATAGTTCTCCGGGACAGGGGAGGCCTTCCAAGTCTGCTCCCGGAGCGGCTTTCCGAAACACCTGCCATTGAAAGCGAGAAAGAGAGTCAGCCGTGGTATTCATGACCCCAGGAATATGCACAGCACGGCACGTTATGTTCAGAGACAAGCATCGCAAAACCAATTGACGCAATAGCCTAACCACCGGAGGGGAAGAGGCCGTCAGGTTATTGATGGCCTGAACCACACCCAGGTTATCACAGTGGAAGACGACGCGCCTGTCTTTGAGCTCCATCCCCCATAAGTGAACAGCCACCAAGATGGGGAAGAGCTCCAAGAACGCCAAGTTCTTGGTAAGGCCTGAATCGACCCACGATACAGGCCACGGCTCTGCGCACCAATGAGGCCCCAGGATTGCCCCAAAGCCAGAGGAACCCGCGGCGTCTGTAAACAAGTGAAGCGCGGCATTCGAAACCTCAGGCTGCTGCCAATAAGACCTTCCATTGTAAGTTTCAAGGAAAACAGCCCAGACTACCAGATCATCCCTGAGCGCCTTGGTTAAGCGGATGAAATGTAAGGGCTTCGAGATTCCAGCCGTGGCAGCCGCCAGGCGCCTGTTGAATACTCTGCCCATAGGCATGATCCGACAGGCAAAGTTCAGCTTGCCTAAGAGGGATTGAAGGCGCCGGAGAGTGATCTTTCGCAAGGAGCCCGCTTCCCGCACAGACCCCCGTAAGTCCACCAGTTTGTCCACTGGGAGCCGACATTCCCCGATAACTGAATCAATCTCAATTCCCAGGAAACACAGGCACGTGGAAGGGCCAACTGTCTTGTCGGGCGCCAGAGGCACACCAAACCCAGAGGCAACATCCGCCAATGACTGCAAAATATGTGCGCAGATTGAGGAGTGCGCGGGACCAACACACAAAAAATCGTCTAGGTAATGAAGGAGGGAGTTGTGACCAGACTCCATTCTCACCACCCATTCAAGAAAGGAACTAAAACATTCAAAGTAAAAGCAGGATATCGCACAGCCCATCGGAAGGCACATGTCCACATAGTAATGCCCCTCAAAATAGCAACCTAAGAGGTGATGACACCCCGGGTGAACCGGCAAAAGACGAAAAGCAGACTCGATGTCTGCTTTTGCCATGAGTGCCCCCGATCCAGCATCCCTGACCATACAAACCGCAGCATCAAATGAGGCGTAAGAAACACGGCATAATTCTGATGCAATGTCATCATTTACAGAACCCCCTTGGGGGTGCGATAAGTGATGAATGAGCCGAAATTTTCCCTGATCTCTCTTGGGTACGACGCCTAATGGCGACACCCGGAGATCAGGGAGAGGAGATTCCCGAAAAGGGCCTGCCATACGCCCCAAAGCCACTTCTTTAGCCAACTTGTCCCTGACCACCCCGGGGTGGTCATAGACCGAACGCAAATTCCGGCATACCTTTGACGCCGGACGATGTTGATGGGGAATCCAAAAACCAAACGAAAAACCTTCCAGGAGTAAGGCAGCCGCCTTTTTATTTCTATAACGTTTTAACCACGGTTGCATCGCGCCGACGTCCACTGGCGTCCTCGCCCTTAGAGCCCATGGCGTCACCCTTGTCGCCAGTCCTGCCCCGCTTAAAGCATTTGGAGGTGGGGTGCGATCCGCCGCACCCAGAGCACTCGTGCTTGAAACGACAACCCGCGCCGAATTTACATTGCCCGTCGTTATACTGCCAGCAGCAGCCCGTTCGACGCTGATTGGCCGACGCAGTGGTCGCAGACCCTGCGCCGGCCCCCCCGAGAAAGGACGAGAGGCCCCCTTGATGCGATGCCGGGCGGGTCATGATGGCCAACCACAAGCCGATGTCCATCTGGTCCCAACTCAACGATGGGCGGACCGCTATGCGCTGGCGAAACTGCTCATCATAGCGCCACCAGCCTAATCCGCCATAGGTCCGGCACGCGTTCCATATCGTATCCTGATAGCAAAAGAGGGATGAGCATTTATTGGGGGACTTCTCGCCTATCACACTCGCCAGGATAGAAAAAGCCCTGATCCAATTACCAAAAGTTTTTGGTATCTTCCGATACCTAAACTTCT